CAACCAGACAGGACAAGAACAGACTCCAGTGGACAGTCAGGACTGCAGAAAAGATTACCAGTGCCAGCCTGCCCTTTGTGGAGGACCTGTACACCTCACAGGTCAAAAGGAGGGCAGAGAAGATTTCCGCAGACCCCTCACATCCTGGACATGAACTGCTTAAACTCCTCCGCTCTGGATGGCGCTACAGGTCACTGTGCATCAAAACAACCAGACACAAGGACAGTTTCTTCCCCCATGCCACCACTCTGATGAACAGTTAATCCATCACTATATGACCAGACACAGCACCCCAGTGCAATAAACTGTCTGTATAACTATTGTATATATCAGTATGGAAGCTCTTCTACCACAATGTGTATATGTGAATAATGTAATCAATGTATGTATATTAATAAAGAGATTGCGTTTCTGTTTTTCATCTTCTCTTTCCTATTTGATTGCACATTTTGCTCTTTTTAATGTCCATGTTTTTATTTTATATTTTTTATTTTCTTGTTGCCTTACAAAATTCACTGACTGCCTTGTGTGTGGATACTGTATAATAAAGCTGATTCAGATTTATTTACAAATGTACAGTTTCCTTTTTATGTACCTTTAATGCCAGTGTTACTTTTGCTTTCAAGCTGTTTAGATTTTATTTATCTAAAATTATAATTATCCCAAACTCCATATTACAAAATATTTTAACAAGTGTGGAAACTTTAGTCATCTCAAGTTTTAAATATAATAATAATAATAATAATAATAATATTACTATTAATAATAATAATAATCACTGGCATTTAAAACCACACAGAAACCAGACATAGAGGAGAATATAATGTTATTAAAGTTTTTATTTTACTTTATGACATAATTAATGACAATAATAAATTATTCTATCTGTGCTTGGCTGTCAACTCTCAGACTTTGTGGAGGCCACCTGGAACATCTTCCAGGAGAACCTGGAGGAGCTGGGTATAGGGGAAGGTCCCTTTATGTTCTCCTGTCATGAGGCAGCCAGTCTGTTGGACACGTCAGCCTTCCATTCACCTGTAAGCATTTCTCAATGCCTCTCAAAAGGCAGCAACATCTCAAGGCCTGTAACTATTAAACTCACGCACAATGGAATACACTGAGACATCATACTAGGTGGAAGAATTAAAATAACTAGTAATATTATAAAGGACTCACATATAAACATATATTTTCAAATAAAGCTGTACCTTACATGTGTGTGTGCAGAGATATGAATCAGATAATAGCTGCAGCAGTGAAGAGATGGAACAGTTTCAGACAGAGGTGAAGCAGCTGCAAACCCAGAGGAAGCAGATCAAGGTAAACACACACACACACACACACACACACACACACACATACAAAAGCTGGTACTGAGCACATTCTATGTGGTGTGGAAGACAACGTGATGATAAGTTCAGTTTTGGTGTGTCACACATCACTGTTGATATTTGCTTTTCTTCTGTTGCATTTCTGACAAAGAACAGTAGGTGTGTTGTGACCTGTATTGTTAGAATTATGATGCTAGCAGTAGTTTCAAAACAAATGACTAAGATTCACAGACCCCTAAATTAAATTTTATTTAAATAGATAAATTATACAGAATGTATTTTGTGTATTCCTTGTTTTGTTGTATATTAAGATTTATTGCTGCAGGAAAATAAAAGTAATGTTAATTAACAATGTTTCTGTGATATGATTGGCTATTAAAATTCTGTAGCACTCTGCTATATGCTATATGACATGGACCACAGGCTGTCACACTAACCCCCTTCACTGCCTTTTCAAGGTGGAATTATTGCACCACTGTTCTGTATAAAACATATTAAATGCAACTGTTCCACCTCGCCTTGTGTGTAGAAGAGGATGTTTGATTTGAGGGGTGTGAAATTCTGTTTAAGTTTCTGCAACGTGCCGTTGGGGGATTCAAATTTTAACATTTCTTGAAAGAAACAGAATCTGTGACCACACCTATCATGTTGTACACTATGCAGAACAACTTTGAGTCCAAATCTTGTTGTAAATGTGCAGGATGAACAAAAGCATGTCTCTACTCTGTTCAACCACCACTGATGATTTAAAAGAAACACTTTACTCTCAGAGTGCAGGTCTGCTTGTGATTCCTAGAGTCCACAGAAGTAGAATGGGAGGCAGAGCCTTTAACTATCAAGCTCCTCTCCTGTGGAACAAGCTCCCAGTCTCAGTTTGGGAGGCGGACACCCTCTCTACCTTTAAGATTAGACTTAAGACTTTCCTTTTTGATAAAGCTTATAGTTAGGGCTGGATCAGGTGACCCTGAGCCTTCCCTTAGTTATGATGCTAATTATGCTGGAAATGTGCAGCTGTAAGTGAAATATATACTTTAAGGCAGTCCCGTTCAGGTACAGGTCACCCATTATAAAGAGGGAATTGGTCTTGTGGCCACCTCTGTGAGTACCAAGGTAACTGCCTATTACACAGCCTGTGAGACTGTTCCACTCTAATCTAAGACAACTGAGAATATATGGGAGGCACCACCTTGTGGTGCTACCTGGTAATACAGTCAGTCCACATTACTAAATCTGACTGTTACCCACTGCAGACAAGCCAAAGATTAGTTGGAAAACAACTTACAAATAACCTTGTTGACCAAAAAATTGTCACTTGGAAGACAGCATAAGGATGTAACTTTGTTATTATATAGTCTGGTGTCTCTCAGTCACAGAGGGCTCAAATCCACTGACCTGATGATTCAGTTGATGATACAGTCCTTATGGCTTAATCTGCTGCCTCTCATGGTAGGTGATTCTGAAAGACATGGAGCACAGCAAAAGAACCCTGGAAAGGGAGCTGCAGAAGACCTCAGAAGTGAGAGACAGGCCAAAACAGTTCAAAGTGATATGCTAAGCATGCTTTTGGATGGGTTGCTTCACACAGTTACTTAAATGCCAGTGAATTTATTTACAACTGTAATATGATAAAGACAGCTATAGGCCTCTTATGTTGCTTCAAACCTATAAATACACATGAATATATTTACCATGAAGCACTTTATTGTCCATCCCAGAAAGCGCGTTTGACCATGGAGGAAAACACCCATCTAAAGAGTCGTCTACAGGCAGCCGAGACCGAAGCTGTGCAGGGGCAGGCCAGCAGTGCTGAACAGGACTATGAGGAAGTCATCCAGCTGCTGGAGGCTGAGATCAGAGACCTGAGAAATCAGCTGGCCAGCAAGAGGCAAGCACAAGGAGTGGAGTCCACCATGGTATGTTTGAAGCACATACTTACATACACACTATTTCTATTTCACACAATGTTCTGCTTCTACTTTGCTTCTAGTTAAAAGATTCAGATTTTACATACAAACTATACAGTCAACAAATAAAATATACCCTACAAACTATAAAATAATCAAAATCCAATAACCCATCCATTATCTATACAACTTATTCTTGAATAGGGCTGCAGGGGGCTGGAGCCAATTCCAACTGACATTGAGCGAGAGGTGGGGTACACCCTGGATAGGTCACCAGCCTATCACAGGGCTGACATATAGACAAACAAATACACACTCGCATTCTCACACCCAGTACACAAACTCTTTGAACTCCTCCCTTCTGGATGGTGTTACAGGTCACTGTGCACCAAGACAATCAGGCACAGGGACAGTTTCTTCCCCTGCTTATGTGAACCATGCCTCGCCAAAAAAGAGCTTTCAGAGCATTTACAATCAAGAATTGTTGATTTACATAAAGCTGGAAAGGGTTAAAAAGTGATTTCAATGACTTTAAGGATTCACCAGTCTACAGTTGGGCAAACAATCTACAAATGGAGACACTTTGGGACTGTGGCTACTCTACCAAGAAGTGGGCGCCCAGTCAAAACAACCCCAAGAGTACAACAAAGACATCTATGACGTAAAGAAACAGCCTCGAGTGACAGCCAAAGATTTGAAGGCACCATTGGAAATGGATAACATCTATGTTCATCAGTCTACAGTACGTAAAACATTGAACAAGCAGGGTGTCTATGGCAGGACACCATGAAGGAAGCCACTGCTTGCTAAAAAGAACATTGCTGCATGCTTGCAAAAGAGCACATTGACACTCCACAGCGGTATTGGCAAAATGTTTTGTGGACTGATGAAACTAAGACTGAACTATATGGAAAGAACACCTGCCCTGCTGCATCAGGGCCTGGTCAGCTTGCAATCATTGAGGGGAAGATGAATTCCCAAGTCTATCAAAAATTTCTTCAGGATAATGTGAGAATGTCTGTACATCAGCTGAAACTCTGTAGAAGTTGGGTGATGCAACAGGACAATGATCCAAAACACCGAAGCAAGTCCACAACAGAATGGCTTCAGAAAAACAAAACCCGCCTTTTGAAGTGGCCAAGTCAGAGCCCAGACCTCAACCCAGTAGAGATGCTATGGAATGACTTGAAGAGAGCCATACACGAGAGACGTCCAAAGAATATGACGGAGCTAAAGCAGTTCTGTCAGGAAGAATGGGCTAAAATTCCTCCTGAACAATGTGCAGCTCTGATCCACAGCTACAGGAAGCACCTGGTTGAGGTTATTGCTGCCAAGAGGGGGGGTCAACCAGTTATTAATTCCAGGGGTTCACTTACTTTGTCCACTACCATTTTGAATGTTGAATGAGTGTCTTCAATAAAGACATGAAAGATCTGAATTTTTTTGTTAAATTAGCCACATTATATTCGTCAGCACCCTTGACTTAGATGACAATCAGACCACATTTTATGACAAATTAATGCAAAAAAAAAAAACAACAACAGGAAATTCCAAAAGGTTCACATACTTTTTCTTGCCACTGTACATATAGATCTGTTGAATCCATACTGTGTGTATATTTATGTACAGGTTTGTATTTATGAGTATGTTAGTCTAATTTTTTAAATCTCTTTTCCTAATGTACATTCCTTTGCTTGCTGATATGTACGTACACATTGAAAGCCGCTGTACCAGAGTCAAATTCCTTGTGTGTCCAACACACCTGGCCAATAAAGCTGATTCTGATTCTGATTTACTCCTACGGGCAATTTAGAGCCACCAGTCAACCTAACCTTCATGTCTTTGGACTGTGGGAGGAAGCTGGAGTACAAACTACTGTATATGGAAGTACATCCCTGCCAAAATGTTGGAGGGCACACAAACCATATTGCAAGTGCTACTCAGTTTGCAACTCAGCATTTGAAAGCATGCAGGCACATATTTACAGTATAAGCACAGAATGGGATCTGAGAGCAAAATACTGGCCATGTGTGCAGTCATTCCTGAGTTTGTGGTCTCAGATTTCTCCATTGTGTCTTGTGTGAAAGTCAAAATAAACAAGTTTTGAGCATTATTCAGTTTGCAAATAAAAATTTGAGAACATACAGGTATGATTTATAAGAACAATACTAACTAACCCTACTAACTTAAGTAACATGAATTTGAGCCCTGTTTGCATGCAAGGTGTGTGGCAAAGGCTTCATTCTAATATTCTGTGAGCCAAAGAGTGCATGCGCTGCAGGTTGTGCATGCTCCACTGTAAATAATGCTGCTTCCATTACACTCGGACCACACATGAAGACAAGTCTCATTACTCAGCATGTTTAACATAATGCATTTTGTTTTATTAATTTGATGTGAAAAGTAACTAGTGACTATAATAATCAAATAAATGTAGAAATACTCAGGTAAAATAGAAATACCTCAAAATTGTATAGTACAGTACTTAAATAAATGTATTTAATTACTTTCCACCACTGAATATTTGGGGCTGTGAACTTAGTTCAGAATTGTGAACTATGAATGTGAACTAGATGATTTCCATGTGTGTGAACTAAACTTTGAACTAGCTCTTGTGAAGTGTGAACTTGCACAACACTAGTTATTGTTATGTACTCAAAAGTATTTTTCTGTTTCTCTGTGGTTGACCTGCAGCATTAGTGAGTGCACCAGAGGCAGTATCAATCCCAGCCGGGAGTCCCCATCATATGTGAGCAAGAAAGAACCAAAGAGGACAGTGTGAGGGTCTGGGTAGGTTGAAGAGGCTGAACCCATGACTGACTACATCATAGCCCATTACAACCTCCAGTTTCTCAGTTCAAGGTCACAGACTGAAACAACACAGCCTGTGTTTAAAGCTTGCTCACATTTACATTACATTAGTGTCTCCCTTAGAAATATTGAAGTCTTTCTGTGGGGTTCATTGCTGAATGTGTTGGGCTCAGCTGTGAACAGAGGACTTTCATCATTCAACAATATTATGTACAGTATCAGAATATCAGTGAGAGATGCTCTGCCGAATAAAGTCTGGTGGAATTCTTTTATGTGTTACTCTAACAGCAGATGGTATTGAAGGAGCAATATGACCAAGTCCACAGCTCACACATCCTGCCGTATGCTGGGTTAATACTCTTCCTAGTCTTGTTTTTTAAGCCCCTATACACACATACGTTCAATCCAGAGATTGCATGTAAATAAATCCTGAGCTGGTCTGTTCAAAGTGTCTTCCTCTATGTCATGATAACTGACTCCCTCACATTCTGTCACTTGTTTACTCTGGTACAAAGGTAATGTATTCCTGAGCAAAACGTTTTTTTAAGCATCTCTTTTTTTCTATGATGCTGTCCTCATTCTCCATAATCATCAACAAAAGACAAAGAATTAAGTTGTTGTTTCGGTGAAATACCTGCACTGTTCTGTCCAATGTGGGGTTTGGGGAGGAACCAGTACGGGAGAGTCTAAGAGGGGTAACAGGTGGGTGTGTCAGGGTGATCGCAGTTGGCGCGGAACATGGACTGCCCTGAGGGAGCGTTGCTACTGCTTTCTTTTTCTGCTATTTTCTTTTTCCTGTGAGCACACGGTGCCAGGTATATCGCAGTTTCATTTTGCATTCTTATTCTGTTCAATAAAAGCCAAGAAAAGACAGAGAAGGTGTTCTCCTCAATGTCAGCCTAGGTGCCAGCACACAGCTGGATAGTTAGATGTCACAGTTTAGGATAGGGTCAGGCCAGCTCCACTCATCCAAACCAGTGGAGCGCCACAATATAATGGATCTGCAGAGTCACATCACAGCATGGTTCCTCTTGATGCATCTGGATCCAGAACTGGCTGTAAGGTTGATGTCGTGTGTTGTGGAAAAAAAAAATCCTTCCCTTATGTGCTAAAATGAACGACCTTTAGTGAGTGTGAAATAAAAAGATTTAGGACAAATCTGTCTTTTGTGTTATTTATTTTTGCAGAAAGGAGCAGTCTACAACAGCATTCAGAGTGGTCTGCTACAGAGGCTCAAAAACGAAAAAGAACTCAGTCAAAAAAAAATTTCCCACTCGCCCCCACTTTGGGGTGGTCTTGTATTCCTTCCTTCAAGCTCGGGTCTTCTATACCAGAGGCCTGGGAGCTTGAGGGTCCTGCACAGTATCTTAGCTGTTCCTAGGACTGCACTCTTCTGGACAGAGATCTCAGATGTTGTTCCTGGGATCTGTTGGAACCACTCTTCCAGTTTGGGGGTCACAGCCCCCAATGTTCCTATTACCACGGGGACATACCGTGCAGAGGTTTGTCCTTCCATGTACTTTGAAATACAGAAAGATCTGCCACCATGGAGTGTTACTTTCAGTCTGCATACAGTGGGGTGAGGTAAAGCTGCTGCTCTGGTTATAGAAGTCATCACGTGACTGGATGCTCACACAATACTATGTCCAGGTCTTCAGGTTTGGTAGTGTTTTATATATATATGTATATATACTGTATACATGGGTCTCACATGCAAGTTTCAGGGAGGATTACACACATACACATACACCCACATTGAAAGAAGTCTGTTTTGAGATGGTATTCAGAATCAGGGAGTGCATACTTTTTCAAGGACAGGTTGTACTATCGTTGTGCAATCGTTTTGCAATCGTTGTGCTGAGCAGACAGTTCAAATATTCTTTGTGGACAGAGTTCACCACACGTTTAAGGCATTTATGAGCAAAACAAAATTTTTCATTACAAGCTCCATCTGTGTAAACTTGTGTTTGGTACTCACAAAATCAGGCAGAGGCTACATGTGGAACTCTGATTATATTTATGCAGACAGCTGCAAATTCTTAAAAAGAAATGACATCCTGTAATTCAAGTAGATCTTTGGTGTCGTCTCATAGTCTTGCTGTTGCTGTCTTATGAATACAGTAATGACTAACAAGTATAGAGACAGTCTTGGACAGTAAGATGTTTTACTGTGGGATTGCTGTCACGCACTATTTAATGGGTTTATTATGAATTAACTGTACATGGAGTAGGACACAAGAACAGCAGTTTTAACAGTGATTGACCTATCAATCAGAGAAAATATGGAAGGAAGATTTGGTCCAGTTATTTGAACAGCACCAGGGTCCAACTGACAGCTTTCACACTAGCCCAAATGAACTGCACTAACTGGGGAGAAAGTTCCAGCATTCATTTTAATAGAACTAAACAAGTTCAGTGTGAAAGCACGTAAGCAATCATAGCACTATAATTGCAATATGTATCTAGTGCTTATTCTGTTATGTAGACCTACAGCTATCATTAATTGTACAAAATGATAATATTCCCTTTGTAAAAGTCAAATGTCCCACTCATATAGTTATCCCACTTTACTGGTAAAACATCCCACTCATAAGGGGTGATGTGTCCCTCTTACCAAAACAAACATTACAGTAAACTGTTAGGTAATTTCTTAGTTAGATAGATAATGATTAGAGATCTGTTGTATTAGAAAATGTTAGTGTAGCCAGGATGTCTTGCTCAGGCTGTTAAATGCTCAGTTCATTGTCATGAGTTCTGCAGGCTGCATCTAGGCCAAGGTCACTAGATTGAAGAGTCTGCAGGCAGGATGAATATTGTTAGTAGCATGATATGTTCAGCCGTAATCTTAATCATAATATCTTCCGAGGCTTACTGTTCGGACATGTCCCTGAATGTCCTGTATGTTTTTAGATACACACCACTAATCAACAGCCACACACTTTAATTTTCTCCATGTTTTGACTACTGCTCTGGTCAGCTGCCAAGCTGGCATATCAGGTGACGTCACGGTTTGACGTTGCCTGTGTAGGATGGGGCTAGCCCAACCAAGTGATTAAATTGTATAGGCTATTAGGTTCGGGGTCTTT